ACGCGTTTCTGTTTTCTCTGTGTGTGCTTTTCTTTTGCGTAACTTGTCGTGTTCTTATCATTTGTAGGATTTCTTTTACATATCCTGGATGATAATTCTTAATTGACGATATGCATGGCAAATATGTCCTTTCCTCTAAGTCTTGTCTTTCTCTTTAAGTTTTGACTAAAGGGTCTTTTATGACAGAGAAGCTTTTAATTTTATTTTGTATTGTATTCCATCCTCTTATTTCCTTCCTTTGTGGTTTGTGCTTTTGGGCATTTTGTTTAAGAAATTCTTTCCCACTCAGGGAGCCTGGGTGGCTCAGTAGGTTAAGCGTTCGACTTCAGCTCAGGTGATGATATCACGGTTCACAAGTTCGAGCCCTGCGTCAGGCTCTGTGCTGATGGCTCAGAGCCTGGGGCCTGCTTTGGTTTATGTGTCTCCCTCTCTCTCTGCCCCTTCCCCGTTCACATTCTGTCTTTCTCTCTCTAAAAAATAAACATTAAAAAAAAAGAAATTCTTTTCTACTCAAAGTCACAAAGACACTTTCTTAAATTTTTTCAGTTTTATTTCTTGCAGTTTTCACGGTAAAGTTTGACTTTATACAGTTACCGTTCGTGTAAGACATAAACGTTTCCCCCTACATACAGCCAATTTCCCAGTACTATTTACTGCGCCGTCTATCTTTCCCTTCTTCTCTGCAACACCTCCTCTGCTGTCTTTGGAGCTCCCTTGTGCATCTGAGTCCATTTCTGTCTCTCCGTTGGCCTCTCTGCCTTATGCTATGCAAACACCCCAGGATCTGAAATGCAGGCACTTTACCGTAAATCTTGGTGTTGGGAGGGTAAGTCGTTTTTGTTCTTCAAAATTATTTCCCCCTACCAGCTTTGGTTCAGACTGTCGTGTTTCTCCTGAAGCTCTGTGGGTATTTTACACATTGCAATTGTATCGCATTTACTGATTAGCTTGAGGGGTGAGTGACATCTTTTAGATTAGTGGTCCTTCCTGCCCAATAGCTATATCTCTCCCAGTATTCAGATTTTCTTTTATGTCCTTCAATAACGTTTTATAATTTCCCCCTTAAAGATCTTGCACGAAGTTTACTAGATTTATTTCTTGATGCCTTCTATCGTTTCTTGGACCTTTGGGGTCAAGTGTAAGTCTTGCTTAAGCTCGCTCACTTGTGAACTCTTGGGTTCTAGTCAAGTCCTTGTACATTAGCAACTATGCTTAGAATATGATCACCAGGCAGAAATGGGTCAGAAGTGATAGCTTCTGACCTCTAAGTGATTGGCAGACAGCATCTGCCCCCCCCCCCAAATAGAGAGCATTTTAAATAAAGCACTTTTGAAATATATGGTAAAATTAAAACTTCTATTAAATCCCAAAGCAGGGATAATGAAGTTACTTTTTTAAATCATTCTGTGTAAGTTAACGGAAAACCAACTAAAAAGATAATGGTAAAGATATTTATTTTTCTGTTTAAAATCTAGTGTGAGTTATTACCATAGTCATTCTTCTAGGTTGTTTTCAGAGCAAAATGTTTAAACTAGTTTCATTTCATTTCAAGTTTTATCTTTTTTATCTTTTTTAATAATTTTTTTAATGTTTATTTATTTTTGAGAGAGACAGAGACAGAATGTGAGTGGGTTGGGGCAGAGAGAGAGGAAAGCACAGAATCTGAAGCAGGCTCCAGGCTCCGAGCTGTCAGCACAGAGCCTGACGCAGGGCTCGAACTCACAGACTGCGAGATCGTGACCTGAGCCGAAGTTGGACGCTTAACCGACTGAGCCACCCAGGTTCCCCTTAAATATTTTTTTAATGTTTGTATTTATTTTTGAGACAGAGCAAGACAGAGCATTGAGTGGGGGAGGGGCAGAGAGAGAGGGAGACCCAGAATCCAAAGCAGGCTCCAGGTTCCGAGCTATCAGCACAGAGCCCGATGTGGGGCTTGAAGCCACGAACCATGAGATCATGACCTGAGTCAAAGTTGGACGCTCAACCGACTGAGCCACCCAGGTGCCCCATTTCAAGTTTTATCTTTATAAAATAGTACATGTTTTATGATAAACACTTCAAACATTAGGGAAAAGTATAAAGAAGTAGAAATTTCCCTGAGTCCCACCACCGAAGTAGACCCATTGCTAAGATTTCGGCTCAGATCCTTTTTTATATTTCTTCATACCAATAAATGAGTTTCTGGGTTCATACCTACTTTCTGTTTTCCTTCAACAAGGTGCTATGGGTCACTTTTCACTAGTTACAGAATGACATTATTTAAAAATGTTTTTTAATGTTTTTTATTTTATTTTTGAGAGACAGAGATTCAGAGCTCCAGTAGGGGAGGGGCAGGCACAGAGAAGGAGGCACAGAATCCGAAGCAGGCTCCGGGCTCCGAGCTGTCAGCACGGAACCCGATGCGGGGCTCGAACTCACAAACTGTGAGATCGTGACCTGAGCCGAAGTCGGCGTTCAACCGACCGAGCCACCCAGGCGCCCCCGAAGTGACGTTACTTTAGGTCATTGCATTGTATTCCATTGTACAGGTTTGCACTCATTTAACAAATCGATTCCCTGTTTACGGCTATTTGATCTCACAAAGTAAACCATGCTCCAATGAACCGCCACAGCATGCCTCTTTTTTGTTAGTGTATGTGACCGCCTCCATCAAGAAATTCCTTGGGAGTGAGATTACCGGGATAAAAGGCACGCTCATTTTACATTTTGACACACGTTGCCGACCTGCCTTCCTGAAAAGGTTGAATCAATTAGCGCCTGCTGTCATTGGTGCAGGAGGGTGCCCATTTTCCAATAAGTTAAGTGGGTTTGTCGATTCCCTTAATCTTTATCTTTCTGATGAGTGGAAAGCAAGCCTCTCTTTGGATACGCCTTTCTTTGATTAGCAGAGAAATTAAACATCTTTTCATCTGTTTATTGGCTACTTGAATCTCCTTTTGCGGATTGCCCGTTTGGGCAGTGAGCACGTCAATCTGGTTGTTTTATGAGAATGCTTCGTGTAGCAACGCTGTGCGTGATGTGGACTGACGGCTCTTTGACTTTGGGCTTGGTCGTATGGCTCCCTTTGGCCAATGGAATGTTAGCAGATGTGACTTGGGCATAGCTTTTAATTTTTTTTAATGTTTCACTTGTTGTTGAGAGAGAGAGAGAAAGAGAGAGAGAATATGAGCAGGGGAGGGGCAGAGAGAGAAGGAGACACAGAATCCGAAGCAGGCTCCAGGCTCTGAGCTGTCAGCACAGAGCCCGACGTGGGACTCGAACCCACGAACTGTGAGATCACGACCTGAGCTGAAAGCGGACGCTTAATCGACTGAGCCACCCAGGCGCCCCAGGTATAGGTTTTAAATGCATGTGGCCAATCTTGCCCTCTTGTGCTTCTGCAGACCCTATAAGGAGATCATGCCTTGGCTGGACTGCGGGTCTCAGAGGAATGAAACACTCATGGAACCAACCTGACCCAGCCTAACTGAGATCAGCAGGGCCATAGCGGCCGCCCCACAGACACGGTGAAAAGAAATGACCGCTGTCTTAAGTCAGAGAGTTTGGGTGGGTTTGCCGTGCACCTGCACTATGACAACGGATGACCGACCTACCCGTGTGAGCTGGTATGTGCCACCCTGTTCTCTGACCCTCAGTTTCTTTGGATGTGGCATAAAAGAGATGATCACTGAGCAAGTTTTAGGGTCTCTTCCAATACTAAGGTTCTGGGTTCCGATACGAGATTAGGTGGTGAGAAGGCTGGAGGGTGCGAGAGCCCAGCACAGAGGTGCAAAGTTGGCTGCTCAGGAGCGGGAGTGGGGAGTGGGGTGCAGGCTTGTCCCACTGTGGCAGGTGGTCGGGGACATGCCGGGGAGGTGGGCTGGGGTGGAGGGCTGGTGCCCAAGTGCTGGGGCCCCTGCTCCTCGGGAAGCCCTGCTTGTTCACCCCCCACCTGCTCCTGAACCTCTTGCAAAGTGCCTTCTGTCCCCACCCTCCTGCTGCGACTGCCTTCTTCGTAATGACTTCTCACCCCCGAGTCCTCACTCTGGCCCACAGCTTCCTGGAACCTGAGGCTTCTTCCCCACCCTTTGCCTTGGCTTCTGTGGCCCCTTCTCTCCTGGCCCTCCCCTTTCCGTCTGCCCACCTGGTTTCTGTCTCCTTCCCTGAGGCCACTCTGACAGTGTCCCCCCGGGTTCCTTCCTCAGCCTAGTAATGACTGTGGAATCCAGGGACTGAGCTCTTGTCCCCTCTCACCGCTGCCCCCTCCCACGGTTCATGGTCCCGGTCGGTCTCTCGGCACATCCTGGCCCCCCGGCCTGTGATGTGAGAGATGCTCCCTTGTTCAACCTGCAAATAGCCTTTGCCTTGGAGCGCGTTTGCTCCACGAATGAGCCCATGGCTCCTCCAAGCCCCGCTCCTGGGCTCGAAAACCGTCCCTTGACAGTTTTCATACACCTGCGCCCATCCCACAAGTACGGGTCCTGTCCCCTCCCCACCCCAGTGAGACCCAGACCCCTCGTGACGAGCCCTTATGGCAAGACAGCCAGGACTTATCGTCGCCAGTGCCTCCCTTACAGAGGGGATGTGAGGCTGGAGGCAGCACGTTCAAGGACAAAGAGGATGAACTGGGCAGCAGACCCCCTTGGCTTTGAATTCTGGCTCCATCATTTGCTGGTTGGGAAGAACTCCCAGCCGCCGATCACACACACACACACACACACACACACACACACACCCCGCAGTGTCTGACACAGGACTCACTGAATGAGCCCACCCTCCCCGGAAGCCATTCCTACTTTGATGTTTAGCATGTCGCCTGTTTTCTTCAAACGAAGCGCATTGCTTGCCGATAGCTGGCCCAAAGCTGACTTGGCCTCTGAACTCCTGGTCCAGCGCCTGCCACAAAGCAGGTGCCCGTGAGACGTGGGCGGGAGCAGCAGAACACGGTAGAATTCTCTGAACACTCCGTGTGCGTGTGTTCTGTTCCTCAGCAACACTGCGCACGCCCCGCACCTCCTTGCTCCGCCTTGCACGACCCTCATCCCCATCACGTTGGTCGTTACCACTTGGGGTTTTCCTGGTTTCACTTGAGTGATCTCCCGAAGCGGATTCTCCACTTCGCTGGTGGACGTCGTTCCAGTTCTGATGGGTCTTCTGGCTGGTTGTTAGGTGACATTCACCTCTGCAAGGCCTTCTCTTGTCCCATCTGTCTCCAAAGAGGGACGGCCGCTCATTACTCTTCTCTCACCCGGGGACCTCCATTGATAATTGCCTTTGAACCTCGACGCTTTCGGTTCTGCTTGGGTGGTTTCTCACCCCGCCCCGGGTCTCGGGCAATCCCTCATGATGGGTGATTTCTTCTCTCTTTTGCTCGTGTCCCATTTGTCTTGTTAGCAGGGAGGCACTTCCTGTGTGGGGCTCCTGTGTGACCGGTCGCCACTCTGGTGGGGCAGCCATCTATGGTGGGGGGGGGGGTGGAGGGGAGGGAGCTGAGTTGTCTTTAAGTTCGATTTGGGTTCATTGCCCCAGACACCTGCAGAGCAAAGGCATTATTTCCCGTGCCCTGGAGGCCTGTCTCCACTTCCAGGGCAAGGAGGGGGATGTGTTCCCGGAAAACCCAGTAGGTCTCCAGGTCAGGCGTCTTTCCCAGGGGACCAGGAGTGGAGAGTGTCATTGGCTTGCCAGCCTGCTGCTGGCTCGGCTCATCACCCCGCCATGCTGACCTGCAGAACTGAGTCCCGTGAACTCACCTGTCCTCTCTCTGATCAAAAGGTCACCGCCAGCTCTTCAAGGACCGTGGAGGTGAGGTTTCGCCTTTCCTGACTAGAGCTCAACGATTCCATCCCGTGAGTGGATAGGACCCGAAGCGGTGCGGTCACCTCTTACTCCACGTCCCCACCCCACCCCCAACCCCGGGGGCTCCTCTCTCAGCCCAGGCCCAGGGCCTGACCCCTGTCATCTCCTGGCTTGCGCCCCCGGAGCCCACGGCACCATCGTTCTCTCCTGCATCGTGGTAATGGTAGCCCCCTCCCCTGCCCGGTTCCCTTGCACCCCTCTCACCCATTCGTTCTTCTCGACCCTGCGAGCGGGGCGAGCCTGTGAGGATGGGAGGCCCACATCCTGCTGTGGCTCCCCATTGCACTCAGTGTGGAGCCCATAGGTGCACAGTGGCCCGTGGTCTGTACCCCCACCATGGCCTCTGAAGCAGTCCCTCTCCCTGGCTCTCTGCACTGGCTGTTCCACCGCCTGGAATGTTCTTCCCCAGCGTCTGCCTGGCCACCTTCCCGCCCTCCTGCATGTCTGACATCCGTGTTCGTTTGCTAGTGCTGCGTGCCAGCACCACACCAGGTGGCTCAAGCAACAGCCGTTTACCATCTCCCAGGCCTGGAGGCTGCAAGTCCGAGGTCAAGGTGCTGCTTGACTTGGTTCCTTGTGAGGCTGTGAGGAGAATCTGTCTCAGCCCCTCCTGTCTCCTGGCAGGCTCCTGGCCACCTTTGGCGTCCTTCGGCTTGTAATGCATCACCCCCACAGCTGCCTCCAGCCTCGCACGGCACTCGCCCTGCAGGTGTCTGTCCCAGGATCGCCCTTTAGCTGAGGACACCGGTCGTTCCGGACGGAAGCCCATTCTGAGGACCTCATTTTAACTTGATGACCGCAGCAACGACCCTCCCTCCAAATAAGGTCACGTTCTGAGGTGCTGGGGGTTAGCCCTTCAGCATGAATATGGCTTTGGGGGAGACACAGTTTAATCTGGAGCAGTCAGCCTGACATCGAGGCACAGATTTTCCTCCGAATCTAAAACTGCGCCACTGGCCTTAACCTTCTGATCCCCAGCCACTCAGCCTTTGGTTCTACTTGTATCATTAAAGATAGGTTTGTCATTGTTTTTTCCCTCCAGCTTTTCATTGCCTTTTTTTTTTTTTCTGTTTTCAGTGAGTTTCCATCCTAAATCAAACCAGAACAAACATTACCCATGTCTCCGGGGGCCATCTTCCCCGGCCCGGTGCCCCTCACATTGCCCGTCCTGTGCTGGCCTCATCCCTCCACTCCGTGCCTGGCCCAGCCCGTATGGACTCTGTGGGTGCATGGGTGCAGCACAGGTGGCCCTGGCCACGGGGCCAAGGTGGGAAGAGCAGTGCCTTCAAAGCTGACAGAGGCCACTCATGGGCACCGATGACCCCCAACTTCAGCCCAGATGCAGGGACACCCACCCTCTTCTCGGCCGGCCTTGCAGAGCTCTCTTTCCTCCTTCAACAATGCGACCGATATGCCTTATGAAAATACCTTTATTCTCTGGCTGGGGCGTGAGAGGCAGAGTTTCCCCACTGCCATCAACTCTATTTTGAAATCCGTCCGGCCTCCGGGGGTCAGTGTCCAGCTGGAAGGACAATTATTATCACGGAGAACCTGGGTCCCAATGCACCGGCAATGTCTTCTCTCCCGCTCGCGGAACGAGGTCTCCCCTCCGGCTCTGCTGGGGCCTGGCCGCCCCTTTGAGTCATTATTGATTGATGTCCTGTTGGTCCCCCCCGGTTGTACTCACGGTGGCAGGGGTGAGGCTCTGGTTCTGTGTGAGGAGCCATGGTGCGCAGGGAGGGAGGCATGCCTACGCCTCAGTCCCCGGAGATCATGGGAGGAAGGGAGATGTCAAACAGTAGACATGCTAGAGATCCTACTCAAGGCCTCCCTTCTCCCTCCCCGGATCAGCAGGTCCCAAATGCCCCCCAGATTGTTCACCTCTGCCATTGCCAGCCTGGAGCCTCCACTCAGCCCCCTCACTGGCTCCCGGCTTCCTCCCTGCCCCCAGAGTCTGCTACTCTCTCCGTTCAGCAGCCCAGTGATCAGACCATCTTCCTCTCCCATGAGAACACTGCAGACACAGGTGGCCTCGCCAGAGACTAAAGAAGCTTAAGCATCAGGGACTCCTCACCCTCCACACCCCTTCTGAGGCCCCGGTGGGGCCCCAAGCCCTGTGGTTAATAAGCATTGTCAACTCAAAGATTAATTAGGATTATCACTGTAAGGAAAACTGGCTGGGCCCATGAAAGCTCACTGCCCACATATAAAAGGATCTTGACAGGTTCCCCAGATTTGATGAGAATCCCGAAAATTTGCATGACATAATCCATCGCGAGTCGTAAAGGTGAAAACGTGTTAACTCTGTCAATGTAGAAAGCCATTACGATCAGACTCCTCAGGAGGACAACCTGACTTCACTTCCCCGTCTCTCCACAGAAAATGACATTACAAAAATCATTGTCTTACGAAGACGGGAACAGGGCGGACGTGGCCCAAACAGTTCGGGGTTGGGGGGCGAGAGGGTGGGGGGGG